GTGTGTGTGTGTGTGTGTGTGTGTGTGTGTGTGTGTGTGTGTGTGTGTGTGTGTGTGTGTGTGGTCATCTCCAAGGTGACTTTACACTGTGATGATTGATGCAGACCACCTAAAAGTCCCTCAGTATTTTAAACTCTCCCAAATATCTATTGCATGCTTTTAATCCCGTCTCACATTAAAAACTCCTCAAACAGCAGTGGAGGTCTTGTTGGGCTTTATGTGTAAAGTTGTGATTAATAAACAGCAGCAGGGAATTTTTTTCAAATGTTTAATGATCAACRGATTATGTTTAACATTTACAGGTTATTTGAAATGTTTCGCTTTAACTTTTACTGAATAGGAATTCTTTTTCCCCCTGAAATGATATTTTCAAAAAAAAAAAAGCAGCTGAGAGTTTATCTTTTTGCTTGAAATTATCCACTTTTCTACTAGAAATTTGCAATAATCTACTGGGAACTGCAATATTATCAAAAGATCTACATGTTTATGCACATTTTACTCTGAGTTTAACTTTTGTTAGTGTTTGTTTCTTTTATATTTGCTGTTAAAACTTTAAATTTCATTATACATGTCAAACAAAATCCTCCCAGATGGTTCAGTGTGACAGCATATTACTGTACACAAAGAGCCTCTGTCTGCAGGTTACACTGTATGCTGTATATACATTTAGGTATAGATGTGTACATGTGTGTGCACAGTGCTGCTGATAGCACTGAAAGTATTTTAGCGGTCAGTTTATTTTTCTTCCTGTAACTGCAGGAGCAGAATCTGCACAGATGCACAGAGAAAACATTCACCATTAAGACGTTTGAGCGTCGACTTTAAATCAGTAAAYGTTGCTTTAAGTTACGCCTGAGCAGAATGGGTCAACATTCAAATCCATTAGTGATCTCCTCTGCAGGGAAATCGTTGTGGACTGAGTTCGTGTTGTTTTAGTTTGGCTGGGACTGTTTCAGTGCCTCAGTATGAGTTTCAGACTGTAACGGTCAGTTTTTACTCCTTATTCAACAAATCAGATTTTCCGTTATAAAAGGAAATGAATGCCCTGCCTTCTGTTTACACTTCTGTTATATTTATACTCTTTTTTTTAGTTTTCTGTTACTCCCTCCATCAATATCTGCCAGCGCGGAGCACAGCTGGAACCAGAGTCTGTGATGAGTTCACATCCTGTAGAGTAAAGAACAGACTCATCCTCTGTCTGCTGAGCAGCTCCTTCTACTAAAGACTGCTGCTGTTCACCACATGAGAGAACTCTCTGCCTTCGCTCCGTCTCCTGCCTCCTGTCTCCTGTGTTTGTGTGGGAGCTTTTTTAGCCCTGATTGATGGGAGCTTTGCCTCAACCAGAAAACTAGATGGATGTGGGTTCTACCTTCTGGAGACGAATTAAAAATAAATGCATTCACGAGGAAAAAAAGACTGCCTTAAAGTGTTGTACTGCTAAACTCTGAAGACTGTTTATCTCTGTTTTTTAATTGCTCTGTGTGCGATGTGTTTTGTTTTGCAGCTACATGACTGACGGAGGTTTGGGGCTTTACACTCGTCGCCTGAACCGACTGCCTGACAGCATGGCTGCCGTCCGAGAGACGCTCCATCGGAATACGTCGTCAGGACAAGGAGACGGAGACAGGTAGGACTATAAAATCTTATTTTTCCTCCTGACACTTATGGAGTGGTCCCTGTCACTACAGAAGTGATGTCTGTGGTGCAGTTTTGCTTAGTTTGTAAAGTAAATCTTGTGATTCTTTTATGGATTAGGGTTGTGTTTTCTGTTTTTGCAGTTATCTGTGTTAAAAATAGAAATGGTTTGTTCTCACAGTGTAGAAACAATAAGTGTGATAGCAGCACAATGAAGTCCACAGGATTGTAAAACACAGGTTTTAGTGTGAATAAAAGTCATGTAAAAACTGTAAAATGCCATGTTCATGGATTAAACATGAGGTTTTGACACACATAGCAGGAATTTTTGTTTTGAGGCATAAAGCAAACAAAAAAGCAATGACAGAGGAAGCTATTATTTATTGCATTATGACCCAGTTACAGTCCTTTTAGCTACTCTTAAAATGAAAAACATCATGTAGAATCTGATAATCTGGAAAAAATCAAGATCTTGCCGAAATTAAAACACACCACTGACATTGCACAATTTAGATATGAACTCARTCCTGTTGTTACTTGTGCAATGCAGCAGTGCAATATGCACACTGCTGTTCTGCTCTTTCAGAGGTTTTCTTTTTATTTCACACTTTTACACATTAGCATGCTCTAARGTTAAAAGATGAGCCCAGTTTATTTGCATTTGTCAAACTTTCCAAAGTATTCCGTGTCAGCATGAGTAATTTATTCAAAGGCTTCGGCCTTTGTCCTGTCACCGAGCTGCAGAAGGATTTTGTTCCTGGCTGGTTGACAGACGGAAATGAATGAAGGCTGAGCAGAACCCCACCATGGTGCACAAGAAGAATGGGGGGTGGAAAGACAGACAGTGGGGGGAGGGAATGAGCTTAATATGAAAATAGACTGCAGATTGGATGGAGATGGCTGTAAATGACAAAGCAGGGGATATTAGGTGAGACAAAGGCCCGCTGTGGCTCAAAGCACACAGGCAGAGTGATCGGTCCCTACGGGTTATACCCATCCAGTTGTGTTCTCAGAATATTTTCTGGTTTTTCCTTGAAGCAGGGGGTTCCATTGTTTAAACAGAAATGTCCTGTAAAAATGTTCATTTCAAGCAGGCATGCAGATGCTTTTTTTGTTTTGCAGTAGTTTCACAGCTTCAGTGAGCTTTTACGCATAAATCCTCAGGTGTGGCTAATTTCCTGTCTCACAGACTTTTGACCTCTTGTAGCCTGAGGTGGAGCTTACCTTTCATCTCTCCTGTCTCATCCCCCTTCCTCCCTTCCTTTTATGCAGAGCTCCATCTCTCCTCTCGTCTCCTTTTCTGTCCTCTCATAGTTGTTTGGATTAAAGAGCACAGCAAGAAGAAGAAACTTGAAAGCTATTAAATGGTTAAATCTGATTTTGTTTTATGATGCACTTTCATGTGACTCTGTTCAGCTTAATTGACCAGCTCTACAGATGTTTTGTTGCATTCCCCCTTTTATGATCTTCAGTGAACCTAATTTTCAATTTTATTGGATAAGAGATGAGAGCAACGTGAGACTTTACAAGAAAATAGAGATGTAAGGTGAGCTCCATCCTCGCCACTGAAGGAATCTGCTTGCTGTTTTTTTTTATTTTCTTGTTGGGATTAATTAGGAGAGATGGGCATAAAATAAATTAGCATAGTGAATGGAAAGTGTTAAAGCTGTAGGGTTAAAAAGGGTCACTGGTTTTGTCTTGTAAATGATGAGGCTAATTTATTTCATGTAGGGGGGTTAATGATGCAGAGCAGGTGGAAACCGTGCAGCTTTCTCTGTGTATTTTCAGTATTTTCTTATTTATGAGCTGAAGCTGGGAGGTGGTTCTGTAAGACCTGCTGCAGTTCAAGGCTCATTTATTGGGTGACTCTGGTTTGCGGTGCAGCCGAGCCTCTCAGGAGGTGCAGGGGTGAGCGGAGGTGCAGGGTGTTCACGTGGCAGTGGGGCTAAAATGCTGTGACCCCTCTGCTCCCAGTTCATGAGCTTCAAAGGATCACGGTTAAGGCTGTTTTGAAAACCTTTAAGCCCTCACGCTAAAACCCTTTAGATCAGAATATACCTGAACTAATGAGAAAAGGGCTTATTCAGCCCTGGGTATCATCAGTTGTGTTGACGACATCCTAACATTTCAATGGAAAGTGTAAGAAAATGTTTTCTGAACTGCCAAAGTGGAAGCAAAATGTGTCATGAAACAACGGTGCGTTCACGTGTGAGTGTTAGCAGAGAGACAATAGAGAATAGAAACATTGTGGCTGCATGTGTGTGTGTTTCTTTGTGTGCCTGTATGTGTGTGAGCTTTTTTATCCTTGTCATTAATCTCTGTGGCCGAAGAAAGAGGAAGCAATCTGTAATGGTCTGACTTCTGGTTTGTATCCTCTTTGTTGAAGCGAACAAAGGAGAAGTCTTTGTTGTCTAAATCGGCGGTAAAGCTGAACGTTACAGATCACTCTCAACCCCCGTTTTGCCATAGATGTTAGATATAATTCCTTTGATCGAAAAGAAAAACGACAGGCAAAAATCTTCACAACTGAAAGCAGGATGTTTAAGTAACTTAATTATAATTTCAGAGAAGCAAAATGAAAACAAAGATTATGTAACAAAATTTGATTATTTTTTTTCAAAAAGTAGTGAAAGTATTGGTTAAAATTCATCCATCCATTCATTAGCTTTAACTGTTTTGTCTGTTCTGGGTGACAGGGGTCACTGGTGCCCAGTAGTTGTGTCTTAATTCAGGGGCTGGAGCCCATAGGCTGCATAAACACTTGYAAAATAAGATGATCTAGTCTACAGAAGCCTGTCAGTCACTCATTATTTTAAATCAGCTGTGCCACAGCAGGAAAACAAATAAAACATGCCAGATAGGGGTCCTGGAGAACCAGGATTGAGATCCACTGGTATGGTCTACAGATGATGTATGTTTACAGGACCACGCGCTGCACCGTTACCATGATGATACATTGTGGTTGTCTTTTCACAGTATAACTTTGCAATATTAAGTATTAATGAAACAATGTTACACATAAATAAAAAAAAGTTATTAATAGTTTGGGTTTAGTTTCAATATCAGCACTTGTAAATGAATTTTATTTAACGTCACATTGCAACAAAAAAATTCAATCTGATCAGTTGCTGAACTTAGATATAAAAACAAATTCTTTGGTTTGTGATGAATTTTGAAACTCCACCGTAAACAAATAAAAACTCTTCTGTCTTCATTTTTTTCTGTAAGTTTGTTGATAGTTCAGTGAATCCTGGGATAACGTTGGCTACCTAAGACACTCAGCCTGTTTTCAGGTTTTTTTCAGCTGCATGAGTAGGCACTAGTGCTGGGTATTGTGGCCATTTCCCTAAATCAATTCGATTTTGATTCATATAAATGTCTGCTTTCACAGATTTATACATCCCAGGGATAACAGTCAAATGTTTACATACTCTAGTTTGGTTTGCGAACCAGAACAAGATGCTTGAAGTTTCGTAAATCTTTGCAAACAAAAGTAGCCATAGCCTGTGTTATATTCATGTCTCTCTGAGAATTGCCTGGTAATGTTAGTGATCCCTTAGTTTCTTTTATTTTGCCCCGGTCAACTTGTTGTCGGAAGCTAACGTTAGCACTGAACGTCAACCAGATGTAAACATATGACAAGCTAGGAGTGACACAAAACATAGAAACACACCTTAGCTTCATCACGCAGAAGACTGAGGTTAACATCCTGGGAAAAATTGATCTCATGTCTTATGAACCACTATTCTTAAATTTAAATGAAATCGATCCAAAATTATTCTTTTTATTTGCCCAGCCCTAGAGTAGGCACCTACAAATTGGGATGGCATACAGTGCGCAGCAGTGGTATAAGAGGTCAACTTGAGACACAGCTACTTTGTGAGGGGTAGGGTTCACCATATACATGTTGAAAGTCCATCACAGTTGCTAAAATGAAGAATATTGTTAAATAAATCAAAGTAGAAAAATACAAACCAAATAACAGCTTAAGAGTTAGCCTGTGTGCTGATTTGGTCATAAAGCTGATTTCAGAGCACTGCTGCCTGAGCTAGCAGCTCTAAAGGATTGGAGCTGGTGTTCCCTGTGGCACCTTCAGGAGGACCACATATAAGCAGTGTTTATTGTGAAAATGAAAGGATGAGCACTCTCCAAATTTAAGAGCAGCACACTTAACTGCAGAAATGTGAGCCAGCCACAGGGTACTGAAGTGCAGCGGAGGCAACGACTAATTTAGTGGATTGCTTGGTTAGACACAATTTGCCATGAAGGGTTCACATTTCTGTCAGATCAATTTCCTGTGCCAGCTAATCATCGGTTACATCATTTACCAGCTTGAAAGATAGAGCCGCTCTTCAGTGGTCTTTAATTTGTGACTTAAGTGAGAAGTTTCTCTGCTGTGTCATTTGATCTGTGACACTTCAGATTATATATATATTTTTTAATTTTACAGCTGAAGACTAAATTCCTATGTTGGATAACAATTATCAGTCTTTTTTGGAGCCTCCATGGGAAATCTCATCGTTGGTAAGCATGTATTTATGTAAAACGCTATGTGCACTCTTGCAGCCCCAAGTGAAACACCCTCAGCCAAAAATAACGTATGCAGTCATGTATTTGTTTCCATCATTGATGATTGGAGTTGGAGCCGATACATAGTACCTGTGATTACTACTGTACTTGGTTTACCATGAGACAGAAAGCTGATTAAATCCTTGCAGATTACCAGATGTTGGTGAGTGACATAATAGTTTCTTCATGAACATTTTATAGTAAATTTGATTGATTTGGCAATGAACGAGGTTTCTGTTAGGTCTTAAAGTCTAAAAATGTCTAAAATTTGAAAATCCAAATTTTAGGCCTCAAAATGTCTAAAATTTATTGTGCTCAAGTCTTAATTTTAAATAGGTATAAATTTTCTAATTTCCATGTAACGCTACTTCAAATGCTTAATAAAATACTCTTGCAGCACTTATTTATCTATTTGAATATAGTTACAACCTATATTGCAGCTAATCAGCTTTTGTGTA